ATTGCAATTTGAGAATTCAATCCCAGAACTTCTAGATGCAATGAGAAAAATTAAAGATGAGATCCAACAAGATTTAAATTTCAAGTAAAAATAAAGTAATATTTTAATAAAATATTATAGCCAATTAGCAAATTATTTATTTATGATATGAATAAGACCACAATGTTACATAAGGTTTTCCAAAAAAATATTATTTTATTAAAATTATTAATTTAACCTATTAACTCAAGTGAGAGTTGAGACCGTAAGAAATTATTATATAATAAGGGGCATTTGGATCATATAATATTTTATTATAAAGGGATATTATATTAACGGAATAAAAAATCACCTTGAAGATTACTGGGAATGTTTAAAAAATGTGTTTGATTAATTCGAATAAATTTGTGAATAATATGTTTGGTTGGGAGGATAAATGGGTGGGTATGTTATATAGATTACTAAATTTCCCTCCTTTTTAAATATTAATATAATAATATTTTTTATTATTATTTTTTGAATAATTTCTTTTAACCCCCTATTTTTCAGATTTAGCAAAAACACCCTAGACCCCAAAAACGTTTTAAATTTAACAAAAACACATCTACCCACCCCAAGCCATTACTGGTTGCTACAGATATGGCTGTGATGCCAACAGTGCCATAGATCTGGCCATGGCCATTTCACGACCAAAGATGTGACCGTGAAACAGCCACAGATCTGGCCGTGAAATGGCCAAGTCTTTGGCCGTCAAATGTCGGTTGTTTCCATTGGTCGAAAAAGTCATCACTAGCGCATGGCCAGCCATATGCGGTCGGTCGTACGCCATTATAGCGACTTTTGGCAGCCTTCAGCGACGGTCCACAATGGCTGGCCGTGGTGGCTAGTTTTAGGTATAATAACATTTCTGTAAATAATGATAATAACAAGGGCAATGTTGTCCAGAAAATTTAAAAAAAATGAGGACAAAAGGGTTTGCATGAGTTAATAGGGTGTTTTGTAAATCTTAACAAATATAAGGCTAATTTGGACAAAATGCTCAATTGTTTAGGGGCAATATGGGAAACAAAATATATTACCTTGGGTAAAATAATTTTGATAAAAAGTATTATTTTATTAAAATTATTAATTTAACCTATTAACTCTAGTGATAGTTGAGACCGTAAGAAATTATTATATAATAAGGGGTATTTGGATCATAAAATGTTTTATTATAAAGGAATATTATATTAGTGGAATAAAAAATCACCTTGAAGATTACTGGGAATGTTTAAAAAATGTGTTTGGTTGATTCGAATAAATTTGTTAATAATATGTTTGGTTGGGAGGATAAATAGGTGGGTATGTTATATAGATTATTAAATTGCCCTCCTTTTTAAATATTAATATAATAATATTTATTATTATTATTTTTTGAATAATTTATTTTAACCCCCTACTTTTCAAATTAAGCAAAAACACCCTAGACCCCAAAAACGTTTTAAACTTAACAAAAATACCTCTACCCACCCCAAACCATTGCCAGTTGCTACAGATCTGGCTGTGATGCCAGCAGTGCCATAGATCTGGCCATGGCTGTTTCACGGCCATAGATCTGGTCGTGAAACTCCGGTCGTTTCCGTTGGTCGGAAAAGTCATCACCAGTGCACGGCTAGCCATATGCGGCCGGTCGTACCCCATTATAGCGACTTTTGGCAGGCTTCGACGGCAGTCCACGGTGGCTGACGGTGGTGGCTAGTTTTGGGTACAATGACATTTCTGTAAATATTGGTAATAACAAGGGCAATGTTGTCTGGAAAAATTTTAAAAAATGAGGACAAAAGGGTTTGCATGAGTGAATTTGGTGTTTTGTAAATCTTAACAAATATAAGGCTAATTTGGACCAAATGCTCAACTATTTAGGGGCAATATGGGAAACAAAATATATTACCTTGGGTAAGTCCCCCCAAGGTATTAAGATTCCCGGCAATTTATCCCCCAAATGCCACTGTTTGTCATAAAATATTCCGGAAATAATGTTTTACAAACCAATTAAACATCGTTATCTACTCAATTTAAAAAATATTACCCTAATTATTTAATATTAACCCGATCCAAATGGCCTCATAGAGGTTATTAATTTATAAAGATTATACTATAGTATTTATATAAAATAACTCTAGTTCTCAAATTTATACGTGATAAATCCTACCGAATAGTGAAAAGTGTTTAGAAGTTAAAATTATCAAATTACCATTCACCATATGTTCAATTATTCATACACTATAAATTTTAATATCCAGTTATCCGCGTGGAAATTTTTCGACTAATATCTCCAAATTTAAAATAGGCCTCACAATCTCTGAACGCCTGAAGTTACTTTTTGAAATTAGTCCATTTGAATTTGATAAGAATAACAATAATTTGGTAGTATAAGAGAAATGGAATTGAATCATTGATAATGCAAATGATGTCATAGATTCATAAGCCAGATGAGTATGAAATTATTCATTTAATTGGCAGCTTCCCTTCTCAGGCAAACATGTAAACTCTAATTCAATTATGACTTCACAATGTGGTAGCTATAAAGATGTTGTCGTCGTCGTTCTCAGTCATCCCGCACCCTTTTTACAGCCAATCCAGACCAATTCTATGGTTATATGGTCACTGTTCTCAGGCTAGCTTGTTTTAATACATCCGTAATCACTTCAAGATTAGGATGGAAGATCAAAAAAACCAAATTGTGGTTTTTTCCCTTTTTTTTTCGGAATTCAGTATTAGCTTCGATTCTTGAAGAAAAAGTCTGGACTTAAACTCTAAAACCCAAACAAACGATTCAATTTTTAAACCGAGTGATTCCCAGCTTAGTTAGTAAATACGGATACGATAAAAAACAAGGTACAGAAATTATACGGGTATAATACGATAAATGGTAAAAAATACGTTTATAAAAATTCAGCCATAAAATTTGGATACGGAAAAAATACGATACGAGTATATACAGGTTTAATACGGTACATTATCAATAATACGTTTTAAAAAATACGGCAATATCAATCTTAGTTTTAACACTTTTATAGACTACCTGGTTAAAATCAACAAAACATTTTAAATGCAAAGTATTCAATTAACCAATAACACAAATACACAATATATAAACACATCTAAAATTGGCATCAGCACTTCACATTACACATATTATATAAAAATATAATATAGATATGAACTTAACAAGCTATTAAAATTTTTCACAGGCAAGCTACCAAAGATTTACTGCTTGGTTTGAGGGAGATGTCAGAGTATTACAAGGCAGCTGGAGTTTTACAATTGATCAATGGTGGAGATGCTAGAAGGGTGATCAACGGTGGAGATGTTATTTTGTAAAGGATAGAGGTGGGCAAGGAATCAGTCCCTTGCGGGCTTAGGTCTGGGCCCGTTTGGGACTGGTCCCAAATGGGATCAGTCACTCATGGGCCTGGGACCAGTCCTAGGCCCATGAGAAAAACCAAGACCTAGGACCGGTCTCATAGGCTTGGATAATTTCATTTTCCCCTCTCAATTTTTTTTATATTTTTGGGACAAAACGAAATTTTATAGGGGGTTTTTAGTATTTTTTAGGGGTAAAATTTATAAATTTTATAAATTTTTTAGACCGGGAAGATTTTTTTTTTAATAAATTTTGTAAATTTTCATTTTAACCCTTATAATTTATATTTATTTTAAAATTAACAAGGGGTTTTATGTAATTTGATAGGAGACTATATTGAAAAAATACAAAAAAAATTGGGCCCAGACCTAGGACCGGACCCTGGCCCGAGCCTTGAAAGAGGACCCAGTAGAGGACTCGGACCCTCTTCTTTAGGCCTGGTCCTGTTTTGAGACCAAACCTCTTAGGTTCTGTCCTCTCAAGGACTAGTTCTAGGACCAGATTTTGAAGCTGGGCTTTTGGGCCCGATCCCAAATGCCCAGCTCTAGTAAAGGATGGCCAACGTGGTTGATGCTTGTATAAAAGAAATTTAATATTCAGTTGAAAAAGTTAAAGCAAATAAAAAATAAGTTTTAGTTGTGGAAACATTCAACATTTTCTCTCCCTCTCGTTCTTTTCTGAAATTTATGTTTAGCTCTTGAGAAAGTTTCGTAACTTTCAAATCTTTTTCTTTTTCTTGATCGTAGGACTCTATTACATCTTCACGCCCTCTAAAAAAGCCACTATCCATCACAATCCCCTCAAACCATTCTTGAGAAAGTTTCGCAACTTTCAAATCTTTTTCTTTTTCTTGATAATAGAACTCTATTACATCTTCACGCTCTCTAAAGAAGCCACTATCCATCACGATCCCCTCAAACCATTCGTGCAACCAGACAACCAATCAAGCCCAGAGTCCTCACGACCAACCACAATAACAAATACAAATATAAAGAAGAAGAAGCTTGGAAGAAGAGAACAAGAGATGTAGAAAGCTGAAAACGTGAAAAAAAAAAACTGAAGAAGAAACAAGAAGAAGAACCGAATTGAGAAAGAAGAACTACTGTTGACTACCGAAGAACTGAAGAAGAACGACTGCACCGAATCTGTTTTAATTTTTTGTATAAACCCACCAAAACAACGTCCTGAGGGTGTGAGATTTTTTTTTTCTTTTTTAAATTCGCGAATTATACGAAAACCCTTATCATACGCGAATTATGCGACAGATTTTACAAAATACATATACACGTGTTTTATACACGAATTATACAGTTGTCCATACAATTCGCATATAATACGTGTTTTTATTAACTAGGGTTCCCAGAAGCCTAATACAAAGAAAGAAAATTATATGCACAGAAGAGATCAGAATTTCACGGTGCCTAACCTGAACATAGAAATACAATTAGAATTAGGCAGTATGATGCTGGATAAAACGTATAGTTTTCTGCTTTTCACATCTATGCCATTAATACGATCATGTGGTTTGGAAACCAATATAAGCAATCCGTCTATAATATCCAAAGACTCCTAAATGACAAACCATTCAAAACATGCAGATGATTGAGAACTTACCTCTCAAAGAAACCCAGACAGAAAATGTATGGGGAAGTCAAACAAATTAAATAATTCATACACAAGCTCTATCAAATGATGTCAAACAGTGCGCTACATATCCAATTCTTATCTGAATCCTGGTATTCAAAACATACATCAAATCCTAACAGACATTTTTAGCTTCTGTTCATTTAGAGGCAGGTTTCAAACAGATCCAATTGCAGTATTTCAGTTGCAAATTGTGCAGGCAAAATCCTGGATGAAAAGCAAATCATTCAGCTCCCAATTTCCCAGGGCCCTGAACAGAGATTAGCAGACTTCACTAAGGCAACCAGGACATCCTGCACAAACAATCATCCCAACCAGTTTAATGATGACAATGAATTAATATTATCTATACGTAGCATTCAAGAAAGTTAACAAACACACACAGGTAATAATCGGTGATACATTCAATATAACCAAAAATCAGTTTCAGAACCCTACACAAAACTATTTTCTTCAGTTGACCCTTCACTGGAATAGAAAGAAACTCAAAATTGACGCCTTGGCCTAGATTCTGCCACAGACACTCGAATTGCTCTACCACCCAAATCCTGAAACAAATAAAGTGCATAAGTATAAAGGATCTCGTAGATATTTCTTTTTAATAGATAAAACACTAAACAGAATACATAAATCATTAAGGGAAAAGCAGCAATGAACTTACAACACCATCCAAGGACTCAATTGCATTGCCGACCTCTTCAGCGGAACTGTAAGTTACAAAGCCAAAACCCCTAGATCTACCACTCTCCCTGTCATACACCACCCTGGCTTCCACAACCTTTCCTTGCTCGCTAAACAAATTCTCAAGAGCTAAATCATCAACACCCCATGAAAGGTTACCGACATAAAGACGATTAACACCATCAGAAGGACCACCACCACCTCCTCCTCCTCCTCCTCCTCGGGGCCCTCTAGAAAAGGATTCTTCCCTTCTCGGAGGGGGAGGTCCAAAATTTACCCTCAAGGACCTGCCCTCAAGTTCCTGCAAATTGTCACAAATTATTGTTTTTAGTCACAATAATAGTAACACTCATATAAAACGAACTAAGCTTTCCAATGTCAGTGACTCAATTCAAAGAAAAAGGAAAAAATGGAACTTTGAGCACAAAATCTATTGACCTTCATATACTGTAATATAGATAATACAAGAAACTGAGAACAAGTATATAGTCTCCAGAAAAAGGAGCAGTCTTATAATGCTTTATCTCATTTTGACATTGAACAAGTAACCAAGCCAAGTTAAGTAAACGGGATGTCACCACTTACATAGCCATTGAACTGTTGAGCAGCTGCTTCAACTTCCTCGATTGTCGACATGGTCACAAATCCAAATCCTCTACTTCTCCCAGTAACCTTGTCATATATTACCTGTCAAAAGAAATAACTTCAGCACAACAAAGCAAATAAATAAATTGCACCCCTAAAAAAAACGCATAAAAAACTACAGCCATTAAGCCCCCTGTTTCTTTAACCCAAAATTAAAAAAAAAAAAAAAAAAAAAAAAAATCCTTTCTTAAAAAACGAGTCACCCAGATTTACACACTACAGTTACTCAAACCCGCAAAGAAAATACTTATATCTCTAAAATATGTTCTGAAACAAAAAGTTCAAGTCTTCCAATATTCTGTTTACCTTCACAACTCAGTTTCTTTCACTAACTCTAATCTAACAAAGAATCGACCACAAACAAATCTAAAAGATTAAAAACCAAAATTACCTCAACCACCTCAACATTTCCAGCGGTTTCAAACAAGCCAGCAAGCTGGGCACTGTCAACGCTAAAAGGAAGATTACCCACAAAGAGTTTAAGGTCAGGGGAGAAACGGGACTCATCTCCTTCACTCAGAACCTCCTCTTCCTGGTCAAACTCTGAGGAAATAGCAACGTGCCTAACAAAACGAGATGGTTGGAAGGAGTGAACAAATGAAGAAGAAATCGAAATGGGTTTGGCGTGGAGCTTGAGAGATGAGGAAGAGAAGAAGGAGAGTGAAGTAGGTTTCGGGTTGTAAAGAGATAGGGTTTTGGGACTGAGAGATGGGAGAACGAGAGACGAAGCCGAAGTTGTAGACATTTTGGAAGAGATAAGGTTTTGGTTTTTTGAGAAGAAATGAAAGGGTTCAAGCAAGGAAGGAGAGCGGGAGGCGCTAGATATTTATGCCAAGAGAGAACGAGTGTCAGGGAGATATTTTATCTTTTAGGTTTACCAAAATATCCTCATTCTTTGGGAAATACATTTTTACATAATTCAAATAAACAAATTTAATTATTAGTTTTTAATAATTTAATTTACAACAAAGCTACGGACACCGAAAAACTTGCACCGAAATTTTATTCCGGCCTATGTGTAACACGCCTCTGATTTTTTTAACAATTTTTTTCTAGTGAACGGTCGTCCATCAAATTTGGACGGCCGTTCACTCACATGAACGCCCATCCATATTATATGGACGGGCCTCCATATACAAGGGACGGGCGTCCCCATTTAACGGACGCACATCCCTGATTAAAATATAATTAAACAAATTTGTTAAACATTAGGGACGGCCATCCATTACTTCTGGACGGGCGCCCACAAATAATGGACGCCCGTCCTTCACCCAAATATGAAAAAAAAAATTCTTTGGGGACCCCCGTCCACCAATTGTGGACGGTCGTCCCTTACTTTTGGACGGGCATCCGTAAGAAATGGACGCCCGTCCATTATTTTGCTTTTACAAATAAAAAAAAAACTCTTTGGACGGTCGTCCTTTCACTGTGGACGGGCGTCCGTAAGTAATGGACGCCCGTCCATTATTTTGCTTTTACAAATCTAAATAAAAACGATGGACGACTGTCCACAAATTGTGGACGACCGTCCTTTTATTGCGGATGGGCGTCCATAAGTAATGGACGTCCGTCCAAAAGTAATTCTTTTAAAAAAAAAAAATTTAAACACTGGACGGTCGTCCCTTCATTGTGGACAGGCGTCCATTACTTAAGGACGTCCGTCCTTTAATGTAATTAAAATTTAAAAAAAAATGTTTTTTCAATAAAAAATTTTTGTTTACATTAGCTTCTCCAATACGCTTCTCCAACAACAAGCGCTAAAATTCTTCGAGTGAAAGAAAACCAGCGCCAAAATTTGTCGTCCCCTTCTGCTTCATCGTTCCCGTATGTTCTTTGCCTCTGTGTTGCGTCTGCATTCCTCAGACATTTCTTCCTGCAACAAACGTTTTTTCCTCATTTTCCAGCTACCGTGTGAAGAACGAAAGCTATAAACTTTTCATCAAACCATAGCCATTTTTTACAGTGGAAAAGGAGATCCATTTTTTACAGTGGAAAGGGAGATTAGAAAGATTTGTCCAGGTTAATAACTGATTTTTATATAATTTACGCATTTATTTAGTTTTTTACAGTGGAAATTTTTATATAACTTATGCATTTATTTAGTTTTGAATTATATTTTGGATTGAATATATGTTACAATAGAAAAAAACTGATAGAGAAAATTTGTTGGTGATTGTTATGAATCAGATTTCATGAACGTGAACACTAGTATTAGATTTGCATTAAATAACAAAATATGGAAGAGTCCAGTTTGGCTCAGAATATGGAAGAGTCTAGTTTGCCTCAGAATATGGAAGCTCAGAATATGGAAGAGTCCAGTTTGCCTCATTTCAATGATGTTGAGGTAAATTGTGCTCGAAACCTACTTTTTCGTTAACATGATTTTAAATTTATTGTATCGTATTGTTTATTTTGATGTGTTGTATTAGTACATTCTAATTTTATGTATTATAAAACTATTAAATCAGGAAAAAGAACGTGATGAATTAGAAGATATGGGATGTGCAGAGGAAGAAGTAGAGCCTCATATTGGAATGGTGTTTGATTCAGTTGATAGTCTGGTGAAGTATTACAAACGGTATGGTAACAAAATAGGATTGAAGCAATGATATGTACGTCAAAGAAAGGTGAAGATGGAGAGATGAGATATGTGACAGTGGCATGTTCTTATTCTGGAAAGGAGAGATGTAAGTCCAGAAATACCTTGAAAAATAACTTGTTGCCAAAATAGATTGTAAGATTTGGATTAGTGAGTTTTGAAGGTGAATGCAAATAGGAAATTAAATCAGTTGTACTTGACATAACCATGATTTACAAGTCCGACAAAAAGAAGAATTTCAAGGTTAACCGAATGATACAACCTTACGTGAAAAGGCGACTTGAAGTTAATGATGTGGCTGGGATTAGACCGTGTAAAAATTTTCAATCATGTTCAGGTGGGGCAGGAGGTGTAGAGAATTTGACGTTTCTAGAAAAGATTGTAGGAACTACATTGAAAAAGTGAGAAAGTTACGACTTGGAGTTGGGAGAGCTTCCGCATACTTGAGTATTTAGGAAAATGCAAAAGGAGAATTCAAATTTCTGGGACATGATTGATGTAGTGAAGAGAGTCGATTACAGAATGTGTTATGGGTTGATGCTAGATGTAAGGTGCATATAAAGAATTCGGTGATGTATCACCTTCACACCAACATATCTGCGAACAAGTATGACATGCATTGCTGCTTTGTGGGGGTTGATATCATGGATATTCGACGTTGTTAGGTGTGGGTTAATTCTCATAAGAACACTGAGACATTTGTATGGCTATTTCGTTCTTGGCTTGAATGCATGGATGTCGCTCCTAATGGAATAATCACTGATCAAGATAAGGCCCTGCAAAATGCACATTGAGATTGTTTTCCCTGGTACAAGACATGGGTGATGTTTGTGGCATATAATGAAGAAACTGCTGAAAAGTTAAGGGGGTATAAGGAATATGAAACTATCAAGTTTAAGTTGCAAAATGTTGTGTATGATTCCTTTACGCGTGAAGAGTTCGAAGAGCGGTGGAACCAATTTGTTGATGTGCACAACCTTCACGAGAATGCATGGTTATGTGGATTGTACAAAGAAAGAGTACGATGGATGCCTGCATTTCTTAAAGATACTTTCTGGGCAGGTATGTCTACTACCCAACGTAGTGAAAGTATGCATGCATTTTTTTATGGGTATGTCAATTCCAAACCACTTTGAACAATTTGTGGAACAATATGTAATGCATTGCGAGATAAAGTGGAAAAGAAAGGGAGGCTGATTTTAGATCTTTCAAATCTTGGATACTATGCATAACTAATTACCCCATTGAGAAACAATTTCAAAGTGCATACACAAATGCAAAGTTTAAAGAGCTTCAAGATGAGATTACGAGGAAGATTTATTGTGAGGTATCTTTTCTGAAAAAATGTGATCATGTGGAGTTTCAGTTTGGGAAGATGTTTGGTTGGAGATAATAGTCACCGTGTTCCTCATGCAGTATACTTGGAGAAAGTTCGTGTGATATTTGTTGTACTTGTCATTTGTTTGAGTTCAGAAGGATTTAGCAAACATGTCATTATGGTGTTGATTAAAAAGGGTTTCACACGTTCCGAAAAAGTACATTTTACGGCGTTGAAGGAAAAATGTGAAAATGTCATATGAAAATTAAGGTTAGTTATAATAGGTGGAGCACAACATTGAAGGACAACGTTTTGATAAGTTGTTAATTTAATGCTGACAGTAACGGATCTGGCATCAAACAATGAGGAAGATTTAATATGATGACGGAGTTTATGATTGACAGAGGAAACGGTGGGAGCAAAAGGAAAGTGAGGGAGGGCTTGGTACAACAGTGAACATCCTTCCAGAACTGGTTGACTAGTCAAGATGGTGACTGTCCTCCTAAAGAGAGGAATACCCTATCATTAGTCCACAGGCAGCTCGCAGCAAAGGGGTCCTCCATGTAGAAGAAAGCAGTCGAGATTGAAGAAATTATACGTAGAGTTAAAAAGAAAAAATTACAAAAACAAAGAATTGGTATGACTTATACATATTTCAGTATTTTTTTGAAACATTATTTACTTATTGAAGTTTAGAAATAATCGACTTGTATTAATGTGTTATGATACTTTTTTTAGGAAAAGGATCATCGGTACAGCAACAAAAAGAGTAGTTTCTTCATATACTTCCGTGGCCGATGCGGAAACTCAAGTGTTGTCGATATGATGTTGTTACTACACAGGTATGTGTTATGTATCTTGTATAATTGTAATTGCCTTAAGTTTTCTATAACGTGTGCTAAATTGTAGTTGTAAACAATGATAGATGGCCACTGGTCCGGTTCCAAATTTGCAGGACAAAGTAATTTATATACTGGACAGGAGTTTGTAAAGATGAACATGTCTCGTCGGGAGCTGTTTGATATTTTTGCCAGGTTGAAGCATATGAATTGTATTTGGTAAATTTTTCATGCTTTGTTAATTTCTACCGAATGCAGTTGAGTTGTATGCTTATACAGTTGTTTTATTTTTGTATTTTCGTCATTGGTTGTGTAGGATAGTGAATTATGATAATGACGTTAATGAACTTATATGAATGTTTTCAGTATATATATCGTCACATTGCAGACTCCGGTTGTACATGGCATTTTGGATATGCATTTCTTTTGAGATTTGAATTTTTATGTCTTTGGGTATGTCTAGTATACAATATACATATACATTGAAAAGAGTGTGTGACATATGTATACAAAAGATAAATCCATTTAAAACAAAAAGACAGATTATTATAAACAAAAAATACAATCTTTATAACAACATGCTCAAATCAATCTATTTATAAACAAAAGGGAAAAATTCTTCATTATGGTGCAAGGGGGGGAGGTTGACTAGAGAATGAGGAGGTTGTTGAGAAGTTCTTCATCATGCTGAAAATCTTTGTCATGCGGTCTCCAATGATGTCAACTGTTTCTTTATTCTTGATGCAAACGTGTTGAAATCACTTTGCAATTGATCATATTGTTTGCATTGTGCTCAATACGTGAAAAAAAGCATCTCTTGAAACTTTCCATCCGCTCAAATCTGCTTTCTATTTCTGTAAAGTATGAGAAGCCATATTTTCTACATTCCAGATGGTCCAGGTTCAGTACTCGTTCTTCTCTTTTGTGCACATAGACTTGTCTTTCAGTAACTCCTTCTGGATACATGACACCTTCCTGAACCGTTGCATCTCCTCCATTCATCCTTAATCAGATACCATTGTCCTACATTCTTTTAATCAAACCCAATATTCAATGTCACATCCC